TATATTCACACTCTTTTTTATCATAAATGCCTAATAAATCATGAATATCCGAATATCTAATTAATTGCCCAATTCATATGACCCTTCTAACGTCAACCATCAGAACTAAATTCGGCATGACAATACCAAGCTCTCCCTTATGATGGTTATATTATCAAAAAGATATTCGACTCTGAAAGTAATAAACAAAAATATTAGTAAATAAAATTAATTGCCAATATTTAAAAACTAGGCCTTTTGCTACTACTATAACTGAACTAGAGAATTACCATAATATGTTAAGAATTATAACAATAAGGTAGGCTTAGTAGTTATTCTAGTATTAACCGATAAACCTATTCTACCATAAAGTGATAAAATAAGTTCTAGAGAAATTATTTAATAACTACAGATCTAGTAACTTTGTACTACTTTAAAGTTTCGATCATTCTTTTATACGTTTACTAAGCTTCAATATTTGGTATGTGAATTGTTCAAATTTTTTTATATTTTTTAATTCGATTTAATAATATAAATAAATAAAAATAAATAAAATCAATAATAAATTTATAATGAAAAAAAATTGAAAATCTATTTCATTTCCTTCTATAAATATATTTTACTTCCCTTCTACGTACCAAGTAAGCTAAGATTTTATATATTAAATTGAATGAAATTGAATTTATAAAATTTACTCATTTGCTGGCCAAAAATTTCCTAAATAAGGTGAATTTCTTTTTAAGAATAATATACGTTCAAACAATAATGGATTTAAATTTACTTGATGGTTACTCATTACAATTCCAGCATTGGAAAATAAACGCTCACTTGGTGTTGAAGTTGCTTGAATAGCTAAATTTTCACGAGCAAAAATAGCTAAAGTAGAAAACTTATCTTTATGTGTAGCCCACCAATTACAAACATCTGATTCTATATCAATTTCACTAAGCTGAAGATAATTTTTAACTTCATCGCTATCATCATTTTGAGGTGGAGAAAGAAATTTCTTTCTAAGAGATTTAGCAGATAATTCTTCATCTAAACTATAAGATTCCAAAATACTTGCTGTTTGCGAAGTTTCTTGAAAATTTTGGTTCTGTTTATTGTTATACATACACTTTAAAGTATTTTCAGCATATTTACGATCGAAGGAATCTGCAAATTTGAGTTGTTTGTGACGTGGGTCTAACAATTTAGATAATAAATCATCATCAACCGGAGAATTCAGAATGTTTCAAGAGCCTAAATAAATTAAAATTATATATGATAATTGAGATTTAAAGTTTAAAAAAATATAAAGTAAATATAAGTAATTAAAAAATTTTTGATAAAGTAGATAATACTAATAAATTTAAAAATATTATTAATAATTCTTTGCTTTATCAATATTTTTCGAATTACTCATAGTATCTTATAAAGCTATTGAAGTTAATTAGTTAATATATTATCAATATTTTAAATTCAAGTATAAGAGAGATTTAATTAAACATGTATTATATTATAGAGTATTTAAATTTTATAAAAATTACTAATGGACAGAATAATACTAACCAACTAATCAACTTTAAATGGCCTAATTATACTAATAATAATTAATACCTTGTACAATGTAGCTTGTACTTATTTTCCCAAGTTATCACAATCTTGTGGAATATTAATATTTAGTTTACGGTGATTTAAACTTACAAACTCATTATCTTCTTCGTCAATTTCATCATCAAAAGCCATATCTGAGTTTTCCAAGTCTGGTGAATTATACAATAAAGAATTTTCATTATACAAATCTTGCTTGATATGCGATAAGGTAGAATTAATAAATCCAATCATTGATGATTTGCTAGCACCTAAATAAGTTGATGCTTCAGCAAATAGACAAAGAATAATTACTAATTCTTTAATTGCATCTCATTTAGAATCAGTAAACATTATTTGTTGAAGCCGTTTTGACTCTTTTCGTGTTTGAAGATCATTAGATTGTGTAATTGTTACTTTTATCAAATTTATTGCATTTTGTAAATGCAAAAAATGTCTCCATGCAAGGTAGAAAGAGTTCCATCTTGTTTCAGTATCTTGAATAATACGCAAATACTTATAAGTCTTTCTAAGTATCTAACAAATAAAAAATTTAATTTTAATTAGCTTTACAAACTTTGAATTCTATAACTAATTTGTACTAAATACTTTTTTCTTTAATAAGAAATAGAGTTTATATTAATTTAACTTTATACTTTATTACTGATGATAAATAATATATTAATTTAATAATAATTAATAATGCATTAGTGTTTAATTTAGTTAATTATTAATTATATCGCATATACATATTAATTTTGAATATATAATTAAAATTTAGGGTTTATACTAGTATTATCAAGTTTTAAACTGCAATTAACCAAATATATAAAACTAACCTTATCTTCTAAAACTAGCAACTTCTTTTGCACATCTTCAAGTCTTTCTGATTGCTTTGGAGACATAAAAAATACAAGTAGTCTCTTTGTACGAGCAATAAAAATCTTGGCTGGAATTAAACCTTTTCCTACAACTAATTGTAGTGTGTGAGCCGTATATTTAACTCGACTAATACCTTGTGTTTCCATTAATTTAAGAGCTTTAACCATATTTTGGGCATTATCTGTAGTAATTGTATTTACTTTATTTAATATATCCCAATTATCCATAATTTTAATTAAGTCATTATGAATATTCTCTGCTGTATGAGGATAGGAACAGAGTGTAATAGCAAGTAAAGCTTCATTTAATTTAAAATTCTGATCAATCCAATGACAAGTGATGCCAAGATATGCTTTACAGTTTCTACTAGTTCAAAGATTACATGTAAGTGAGCATGAAATTGCAGTATCTTTTAACTTTTGTTTTAAAATATTAAAAGAAAAATTATAAGCTGTGTGTATCATTGATTTAATAGCTTTATGTGTTGGCAATTCATAATAAGGATCCAAGTTAGCAATAAATACTTTAAATTTTTCTGATTCTACAACTCTTAATGCTTGTGTACTATCAATAATCCATTCAACTAAAGATTGATTTTGTTTTGTTTGGCACTTTAAATTAGTAGCTGAAGGTTTAAACATAACACTGATTTTTGGTTGATCTTTTGATTTTAAATTTGAATCTTTAGTAATGCCATGTATACTTGAAAGATGATCCCACATATTTTCTGTTGATCCACCTGTATTACAAAGTGTATTACAAGTTTGTTTTTGACAATTTCGAATAACTTCTAATGGACACTATCCAACACGATTTCCAGTTGCTTTATGCTCTAAAGGTTGAAAGTAATTTCAAACTTCAGAGGCTAATTTACTTGTGCTTGTTTTTGATAAAGGTCTATATCCATCTGGGATAGATTTAAAATTTTGGGACAGATTTTCACTAGTATCAGATTTACTTTCTTCATCAGATAGAGTTTCAATACTTTCATTGTTTGAAAACTCAGTAGATTCTTGTAATTGAAAATATTCAGTGTTTGATTTTACAACTTTTTGCTTTTTTTTAGAGTCAATATTTTTTTTTACCATATAATTTTTTTACTGCTAATGACAGATATTTTTATATTTAAAATTTGCCTACTAAAATTACTTTATCTGTACTTAATTTTAAAATATAAATTATTTTGCAAATTGTTTCGCTCTAATATAGCTGCGTTTATAAATAAATTAGTTTTACATCGTAATTTCATATTTAAATGCTTATTAATAATTTGATTTAACACTTTATACTCATAAATAAATGTGAGTTTTATTTTAGAATTTGTACTTTATAAATTATACAGTCAAATCTCTCTATAGTTACACCTACGGGATATAAAAAAGCATGATTATAGAGAAGTGTGCTTATAGAAGAGAGGTTAAATTTATTATATTTAATTATAGATAGTTTTTTAAAAAAATAAGCTTATAAAGAAAATGTGCTTATATAGGAGGTGACTATGGAGAGATTTGACTGTAATATACTTCGGGCTTATATATAAATAAGTTTACACTCTATAAATCACATTTTATTAGTATAAATAATTTTGTTTGTAAGTATATAATAGTTTCACTTTATTATAGTTTATAAAATATACAAATCACATATTTGCGCTCCTATTCAACTCTATATATCTATTATATGATTCTATGTAAATAATTTAAAAAACCTGCAAATGTTCATTATATTCTTCCATTACACTAAAAATTCTTTTCTATTATGAATTAGTTTTGGAAGAGTATAGAAAATATAATTAATACATGATTGAGATTATAAACATATGCAGGGGTTAAAATCTTCAACTAAGTTAATAAATCTTACTATGCTAAATTGAATGCATATAAACAATGGGTTCCTAATCTTATTAAAAAAACAATTTTTTCTTATAAATGTTTGTATTATTGTATACACTTATACTCAAAAATAGTTTATTGTCACATTAAAAAGAAACACATTATATAAGAGCATACACTCTTCAAACGTGATTTCTTCTAAGAAAAACTAAATTAGTTAATTGCTTATATATAATATATTTAATATTAACAAATAATTTTGTTTGGAAAAAGCTAACCAAATTATTTAGCTGCAAAATACTTGTTATTTAATATGATCCCAGGGTGAGATTTTGTGCAGAAGTTATAGAATTAGTATGCAGCATATACAATAATAGTAATGGTGTAATTGTTGTACAATCCAATACTATTACTGATAAAGTATAATATTTTATACGTGTAAATAATAATTCCAAGACATTCTGTCATAGGTAGGTGCCAAGGGAGAAGGCCTGTAAATAAAATTTTATACTCTGATGAATCGTGATATTATATAATTAATTAGTGTTCTAGTCATTGTGATAACATTCTTATTGAAATGACAAAAGCACTAATTGTTATATGATTAATTACATATTCATTAGTGGATGAAATTTTATTTAGAGGTTTCGCCTTTGCTTCTAGATAATAGGGGGTTTCAGAATTAACTTTTTTTCAAAATAAATAGGAGTTTTAAAAAGTCATATTTTCTTTTTTAAAATTCTGAATCAAAAAATTAAATAGACATAGTTGGTGATAAAATTAGTTTTTTTTGATAAACATACATTGGTAAATGATTATGTAAATAAGCACATACTTTAAAAAAAATAGGATTTGTACGTTGCTTGTTTTGAAATAAATACATCATTTATTCTATCTAAAATTGGATGCCGAATTATTAATTCTGAAACCCTCTAATATAAGATTTTAAAATAAAAATTTGCCTGAGTAAAGAACTTATTTATTCTATATATATAATTTTAATTTATTTATTCACAAATTGGCCAGTAACTTTATACATAGAATTTCTGCTTTTTACATGATAGCAGTAGTTGTATTTTTTACAAAGCGCAATAATTGCAATTATTTATCATTACAGCAGTTTCTATTTTAACTGGAAAAGCTGATAAAAAATCATAATTGGTTATAATTTCGGCACTCATTATATTATATAACCATCCGGATGATTATCTGAATGGATCCGATATTTTAATAGGCATTCAGATTTGGCATCCACAAATTAAATTAAGTATCCAGATATCTGGATGATCTGCAGATATCCAGATGTTTAGTTAAACAGATCCCAACACTACCCTTTAGAAACAACAAGCAGTTCCCGATTTATCTAATAATAAAGCACCTAAGTTTATAAATATAAACTAAATACATTTATTTATTAACTATTTGTCCAAATCTAACACACCTCTTTCGACTCTACATAATCTAAGTTTTTGTTACACAATCCTACTATTAATCTAGTAACAAACTTGCTATTTTCAGATTTCTCATTTTGGTGGTGAATTGTGAGATATGAAACAAATTGAGAATAAATAAAGAAAATAATAACAATAAATAAGAAAGAATACTTATTATAAGGAAGAAACCTGTCATTGAAGCCAAGGATTTGGAAGGCTAAAAATTGGTCACAAAAAAAAAAGACCCAACCACAAAGTCCCACAAGAAAATGTCAAACTAAATCAACATTGAAGAAATCTCTAAAGAGAAATATGGTGCATCTATTATAAAATAAAAGGCCATATTATCTATATGTGTCAGACTATAAGAGGGTTATACTAATTTATTCAAAATACTTACTAAGGAGTAAGCTACAGAAGTCCAGTATAAATTTTCATTTACTTTGATTTTTTTTACTTCTTCATGTATTTCTTGCTTTTTAGAAATTACCAATGAAGCATTCATTAACTTCAAAATCCACAATAAACAAATGCTGCAGACCCTAAAATTTTTACTAGAGGTATTAAAAAACATGATAATAGACAAAAAGAATACAGAAGATATGGCATACTTGCTTTTATATATAAAAATGCTAGCAAAATCTACAATTTCTATCCTATTTGGAACTAAGAAAGCTCTTAAAAGACCAAAGATAAAAAAATAATATATTAGTGTGTCAATTTACCAAGTATTAAACCTTTCACATATACACTCAGAAGCAAAAAGATAACAAGAAATCCTGAAGTTTGCTCAGTAAAGCCCTTAGAAGAAAGCTTTCAACATTTAAGATATTTGAATTGTACTATATTCCAGAATTTCTATCAGAAAAAAACAATAATAAAAGAAATTAAAAAAAGACTCTAAGCAAGAGAAAGGAGAATTAAGCCTTGAAATGTTCTAGAAAGCTTTATTGATATTTATCTTGAAGTCTTAAAGAACTGGGTTTCAAAACTTATGAGATCTGAAGAAACTAAAACTGAATATTAGAATAATAATTTTACAGAAAGTAATAATAAAAAGAAAGAATAAAAACATAACAAACAAACCAGAGATAAAAGATGAATCTAAAACATTTGAAAAGTTTATAGAGATAAACCTCATTAATTAAGCAATTAAATATGGCTATATAAATAGAATCAGAATTAAAAAAATAAAGAACCTGATACTACCAATAGCATAGAGTATGTCTGTGAAGCTTGAAAAAAAAAGTTGAAGAGTTCAAAAACATGATCTGAAAGTCTGAAAGTAAAATCTAAACAAGTCCAAAAATAATAAAAGATTTGAATGAATTACTTTGAATCTCGCATGTGAAGCCTGGATAAAGAGGGCTAAAGAATTTATAAAAATAATTAAAGAAACCCAAAAGAAGACCAAGAACAATTACTTTAACTATTACAAGATCTAAAAAATAAATACCAAGAATTAAATATGACAAATAGCACTCAAACTAAAGAAGAATATATATCTAGATTTAAGATGAACTTGTGGTTAGAAAAGTTTCTAAAAGACCAGAAATTTTAAAAAATCTATTTTTGAAAGAAATAGAGAAAATACAAAAATAACAGAAATAGCAAAAATGGTGATTTTGCAATTAATCGTAATTTTGTTAATAAAGACATTAAAAAATTTTTTTAATTTTTTATATAGTTTAAAGTACTTTGTATTCTTGTGATTTTTTGAAACTTATCAATTAAGTTTACTCCAAAAAAATATAGTGAAAAAACTTTGTCTATCTATCTTATACTAAAATTAATCAAAAATAATCACAATACTTTTTAATAATTATTGATATTTTTGGCAAAATAGGTAGTTTTTTATAAAATAAAGGCTTTCTGGTTTTTTGAAAACAATAAGTAGTTCCTAATTTATCTAATAATAAAGTACCTAAGTCTATAAATATAAACTATAAACTATATATATTTATTTATTAACCACTTGTCTAAATTTAACACATCTTTTTCAACTCTATATAAATGATTTTACTATCACTTAACACCTCTTTGGTAGAATTTTTGGTATACTTTATTACTAGTCCAATTTTCTAATATTAGAATTTTTTATTGGAGTCTTATATAAAAAAGATAGCCTTTATCCTAGTGTTTTTTGATTTTAAATCTGATGAAAAATGTTTTGAAAAAAGGTGTAGCTACTTAATGTAGTAGTCTAGTTATTACCTTCTCCAAGTGGTAGATCTAAAGTTCAAATCCTACAGATAACAATTTTGAAAAATATGCTTGTGTTATAGTTGACAGTTATCAATTATTAGTTAAATCTAGAATTAAATCTGTAATCTCAGTTACACTATCTAATAATGAGAGCTTTGGTATAATAAATCCAATAAACTAGAATAACTAAAAACTATTTGGAAAGTCTCAAGTTGGAAGTAGCAGTGATCTTTGACAGTACCACAAAAAGGCTAAATTTAAACAGGGTCTGAGTTTAGAAAAATGAATGACCAGGTCCAATGGTAGTGAATACACTAGCAGAACTGCCAAATAGTTATACTAGAGAAAAGAGATATATATGCTCTGAAAGTATAAACCAAGAAAAGGGTAACTGTGAGGTATTTAAAGCCTAAACAGACTGACCCTTCCAGGTTGCAAGCTAAAAAAAAAAACCAATGAAAATCTAAGTAAAAAAATAGTTAGAATGCAGGTATTGGGGTTGTTGTAAACCCTATAAGAATAAAAGTAAAGTAATGGGTAACTAATTAGAAAGGTTGTGTTTTGAAATACAAATTGGGTTATAGCAACACCCTAAAAGTTGGCTTGAAATATAAATTCAGTGATGGCAGTATAGCAGGTACAAGTTAGAAAGAAGTTACTGAACATGTAGATGAATACAGTTGTAGAATATGTATCACTTTATTAGATATACTACAAGGATAAATTGTCTTCTAAATTAAGTTGATAGCTAAAGTTTTAAGAGTTTAAGTGACAAATTACACTATAAAAAATATATATTAGGAGGAAATATATAATAATAATAAAGTTAGAGAATCTAAATAAATAGCTTCCTAGTTAGGCTATAGATATAACTTAGTGTAGAACTATTAGTACAGTGTTGTTATTCAAACTAAACTAGACTCAGACAAAACTCAGACTCAGACCGGACTCAGACTTAGACAACCAAGTATGTCTGCTAGACAGACTTAATTTTCAGCCAATAATATTTACTTGCATATCCATTACCACAGTTCAAATTTTAAACCCATAGTTTGGCTATAAATTGTTAGTATCAAATAACCCAAAGCTATAATATTAAATGATAGACAAAGGTTTAGAGTCATAGATCAATCTGGCAGATTAAGGCTTAAAGATATAGATCAATCTTGGTAATAATATTTGGTACAACTATTGCAGTTAGAGAATATATCATAAATATACAGTACTACACAGGTCGAATGAAACTATACCAAGTAACAACTGGGTAGCCGATAGGTATCCTATATCAATCCAATATGCATATGAAAGTTTACTGACTAGTAAATTGTAAATGTCTCCGATTGGTATTTGATTTCAAACAGATATTTGGCAGAAATAAGATACCAATTGGGAAAATTTAGGTTCTAAATCAAACAGCCGGTAGGTCTATTGATTAACACAATAAGTATCTTAATTTACTCAAAATTGCTAAAAAACCAGATAGTTATCAGGAAGAATTAAGACACCTATCTAAATATAGTATAGGCCTACCAGTCTTTCGATACTAAACTTAAATCGATTCTAGATTTTTCCGATTGGTATCTTATTTCCGCCAAATATCTGTTTGAAATCATAGATATTTAGGAACAAAACAAGTACATTATCAATTTTTCGGTAGGTCTATTGATTGACTCGATTGGTATCTTATTTTACTTAAAATTGCTAGCAAACCAGATACTCATTAGTATAAATTAAAATACCTATCGATATATATTAAAGGCCTACTAGTATATCAATTTTAATCTTAATTATTTCCTATTAGTCTTCTATTTCCGCCAAATATTTGTTTGAAATCAGAGACTAATCAGAAACTTTTAAGTCCAATATCATTATGCCGGTAGACCCATTAATAAACCCGACTAGTATCTTATTTCACTCTGAATTGCAAGGAAACCGGATGCATTTCAGAATTAAATAATATACATATCGTTATATCTAACAGGGCTATAATTTAATTTATTTTTTTTTATACTTATATAAATGATATAATGTTTATTTTATAGAAGCAATTGTATATTATTATATTTATTTAAATTGAATTATAGCTATATATTTACATATTACTATAGCAAAAAAAAAAATATTATTTTCTAAATTTAAAGCTCTTCTTCGTCAACATTATCACTTCCATTTTCACCACCACTTTCATTTTCATTGCTATTTTCACCACCATTTTCATTTCCACCACTATTTCCACCACTATTTCTGCCACTATTTTCACTATTTCCATTTCTATTACCACTCTCATTTCTATTTGCAATAACACTACGATTACTGCTTTGACTAGCATTATTGTTTTCCTCTTTATCATTAGCCTCTTCATCCAAAACGTAAGTAGTTGAAATAGACCAATCCGGAATATCGAGTGGTGGTTTTGATTTATCTGCCCACTTTTCGTTGCAATACCAACGCTTTCTTGAGCATTTAACATGAGAAATTTTATCACCTATGTCATTAGCAAGTCGAAGGATTTTTATAACCTGATTATAATAAAAAATAAAAATAAAAGAAAGTATTATAAAAATTTAATTAATCGCAATATAATAATAATTACTTACTCTTCGAGACCTCCATGGTTTGTCGTAAAACTGAATCACATGATAATCGTTTTTTTTATAATCTGGGCGAATTTTTATTCGTTTTTCAGATTCTATTCGTTCAACATCCGTTTCCGAGACTTCATCTGAGTGGAAGCCTTTTTTGTTTAATATTTCTTCAAGGTCATCTTTAAAGTCATTTCAGCTAATAAAAGGAGCAAGTTCTACGAGGTTTTTATCTTTGGTATTAATCATATAATTAAACCCTTGGACATGTCATCTTGTTTTCTATAAATTAATTACAGCAAACAGTTATTTTTGGAGCACATGATTGTTTTGACCTAATCAACTAATCAAAATCTTCCAAGCAATACTGGTAAAACGATAGTTATATTGTATAAAAAAAAAAAAAAAAAAAAAATACTTACTTTGCCACGGCATGTATTTACTCCTTTACGCCTTTTATCAAACTTTGCCTTTTCTGGATCTTGCTCGATCTGCCATTTTTCGCATTGATGGCAGTGAAGGCTTTGTAGAACATACTTTATTTCACCTAAATTATACCTGAACTGACTGTCCAAGCCTTTATCAATAGCTGGTATGATGTTTTTGTTTACATGCCGAGATATATCCGACCATTTTTTTGTTTCGTCAATGCTTAGATTATCGTCAAGGCCGTTTAAAATTTGGATTACCTCATCCTATATTAGACAATCAATAAACC